CCTAAAGACGTGATAGATGCCTGATTGAACATTGCCTGGTTGAGTATTTTATGGTGAATGTCGCATTTAACCCTATCTAGACCGGGCTTTTTTGGGCTTGGTGGGACCGGGGGGGGGGGGGGCTCATTCGGCCCCCCCCCTCAGAACTCGAGAACGGTACATCGTAGGACCACCAAATTTTCAGAGGATGATGTACTAGTAAAAATTTATCATACGTACAATTTTTATGTCGTTGTGACGTAATATGACGTCATTATGACGTCATTAATGTGATTTTATTGGCCAAAACCGTCTAGATAGGTTATTCCCTGAAAACTAAACAGTATACGACATAACTTTACCAAAAGTGTTTATGACAGACTATTAGGATGTACTAAGTCTTATGTTGCCCATAGCAACACCGGTGACGTCATAAAATGACGTCATGCATATATTACATATCCGCCATCTTGGATCATCAATCTTGAATTTTGAAAAATAGTTTTTTTTCAGGATGAAGCCTAAAATACATTGTAAACAGACTAAAGACATTCATATGAACCTTTTATGTAAAAAAAATGGGAGTATTGATGAAATTTTAAGGAAAATAAGCTGCATTTACCTGATCTAATGATATGGTCCGCCATCTTGGATTTTGGCCAATGACGTCATCAAATTAGCATAAATTATGCATTTAAATGATAAAATTTACATATAATTATATGTGATGTTATTAATGTTAGAAACAATGTGTAACTTGACATAAAACCCATAAAATTCTGTTGTTGAAACGGAAATTATTAAATTTAGCAAAAAATGCCTGTCAGAAACCCGTTGCCATGGCAACAAGAAAAATCATAATCTTATTCCACTGATATAGATTTGTTGCCAACAATATTTTAGGAAAAGTCACCAAATTTGGCGGTTCTAGCTTTAGCCGTTCAGACGCTAGGTGACATCAAAGTTGCCGCGGGCACTTTAACGCCCCCCCCCCCGGTCTAGATAGGGTTAAATTAGATGACATGTTTCTTCTTTATTTGTTATGAGTACCATATAAGAGAAAACTTGTCACTTTTCTGGGCGGTTGCAGTGTTTGTTTTTTTATGAAAGAGAAAAAAATTTACCATACAAACCATTATCCAGAAGGTTTAAAAAATCACAAACAAACCGATTTTACAGTTAACAGCTAATCGTCAAGCAAACATAAAATATAATTCAAATGTATTGGAATTACTATCATTAAACGTAATGAGAAGAAGGATTCAGACATACTGTACTTACACAAATGTACAGAGAGGCTTCTGTAAGCGGCTTCTCTGGAGGGCGAACTGAACTCAACGGCACAAGAGAGACTCATTTCCAGGAGATAATATACATATTCAATAATCATATACCATAGATGATACGCCCCCGCAAAGAAATCTTCTCTGATATTGTATAGAAAATCAAGGTATTGAGCATTGTACTCCCTAAAAATGGCCACACTGTAATTTTGGACTGGCCCGACTTATTCGTCTGTACACCTGCCATGTGGTTTGGGAAAATTTCCCAGGGTACTAAGCTGTCCCTCCCCCAGAGAATAAAAGTGGATTAGCCCAAGTTCGTGGTTTGTAGACCTGCCTTGTTGTTAGGGAGCTGGCAGAATATACATGAATAATGAACCTGATTGAGCGGGACATTGCAGTGATGGGTTGCAGATGGAAGGGGGCGCAATGGATATACAAGCTATTTACATTTCTCGAATCAAGTACCATAGATTTTAAGAGTCTCGATGTTGGAGACAGATTTGAATATATCTTTACATGTAATGGTCCTCACAACGCAAAAATAGGTAGATATATAAAGGAATGCTTTGTTATTAGAAAAAATACCGAAACTTGTGATTAGCCCACTCGATTGTAACACTTTATCAAAGACTTGTGACATCCCTTATTATTTGAATAATTATGATATAGATATGTTAGGTTCTATTCAACATTAGGTCTTATTCAACACACTTATGTTATTGTTGTTGCTCTCTTTATGTAGTTTGCCATACAATGTACCATGTGCAATTGTCATGCAATAAAGTTCTTCTATTGATAGCAAGACACAAACCCGCCTCAAGGACAATGACGGCCTTGGTGCTCTACATTGAAATGCGGTGGCGATTATAATGGCGATAATGATTATATCAGAACGCAGCGAATGTAAATGATTTAGCTGACTCCTATATGGATATAATATATACATTATATGGTTTAATTAAAAAATAACCATGTAACATTAGCTTATGGAATTAAAATTAAAATTAAAATTAAAATTAAAATTAATTTCTATGTACATAAAACCGCCGTGTACGTGTCCTCTTCTGACACCACGCAGAGGTTTAGGTTTTCTTTTGTCGTGTTTTGGGCCTTTTTGCAGGGTTACGTATTATTAGTACTGGATTCTTTTTTGCGCCAGTATTGAATAGAGGGTTTTCATTGACGTCATAATAATTATCATATGAGTCCGGCGACCAGGTGTTGGCGGGTAAACTGATTAAGTAGCAGCATCTTGGCTTGTTTAACGGATATAGACTGTAATCCAACATGGCGCATGTGAAAAGCCTGTATACAATCCTACCAATGATACTCTCTTGCCAATTTTATACTGTATTGCAGCCACAAAAAAATCTGCTGCAGATTACTTATGGTCCCTAGTTAGGTTGTAGCAAGTTATTTGTTTCTAGCGGTTCATCACATATGCTACTGATATATATGCTGCATGTTTCTTGACTACGTTAAGTTCGTTTGTTTAGTCATAGTTTGCAATCGTTCTTAATGAGGAAAATATAAGGACGCCTGAACACGTAATAGATAGAACATTGTCTTGCTGTGTATTTTATAGCGTTTATGGATACCACGAAAGATAAAACTGCCCACCTTTCCGCATACATAAATATGAAACACCTTTAGTGCACTATGCACCAAGTAACATCTGCATAGTGCACTAAATGTGTTACATATTTATGTAACGTATTTATGTAACACCTTTAGTGCACTATGCACCGAGTTACATGTACATGTAGCGTCAGTGCACAGTAAACCAGTCAGAATTGCCCTGCCCCTGATGAATATGACAGGGTCATCGAAACGTCGGGTCGTAAAAAATTAATGGTTGTGATCAAAGACAAAGAGCTCAGCAAAAGGCATTGGGAGATTCCTTCTCTTCATGGGGGTATAGACTTCACATTTTGAACAGGGGTGACTTATTAGGAACAGTTTATTTGTGTGGGAGGGGGATAGGTCCATTTTTGGTATGGGGAATGTGATGAAGCCATGTTGCGTTTGCTCCTGAGCAAATATCGGCCTTTCTAGTTTGTATGACGGATTACGTCATGCAGGATTCAGCCAATGGCCGCGCAGTGCGTGTGAATAGGAAGAAAAATGTAGGTCAACGACCTTTAGGATGTTAACCTTTTCACTTACGCTAACACGTGTTAGTATTCACAACACAACACAACGCGCTGCACCAGTGCAGAGTACCCGGTTCCGGTTCTACATTTTCCACATCTGGATTCGATCGGCGGCAAAGACCAGTGTGCAGCTTGGATCCCTTCATCATGGCGCGTCTTTCCAGAATTGCTGCAATCTTAGTTTTAGCGGCAGGTACTAGTAATGTTATATTTATATATAGAACAAGCTAGATATCGCCCCTCCTCACACGACCATATGTTTATACTGGACCATTTGGTTACGTATTAATTCAGGACGTTATATTCAATGCACCGTCCTTGGCAGCATGTCGTATACATGTACCTTAAAATTGCACCTCAGTAAATACCAATTTGCCGAATGGTTCTGTAACGTTGATGAATATTAGTTTATAACGTTTAGATCACCAGATCTAGAAACAGCTATTCATGTTCTGTGGCGCTTGTGTTAGTAGGTCACAGGTATTTTACTCAGTGTTCTGTTTGTTAACCGTTTCTTTTTTTTTATCCCAAGGACGCCGACGTCTAAAAATGGTTTCTTGTTACCTCCATAATAAAATGGAGGTGTTGTTTTTGCTCTCTCTCTCTCACACATTGGCTCTGTGTGATTGTGTGTTTCTGAATATTTGTGGTCAACATAAAAATGCCTACGTAGATCGTGATACTATTTGGTATGTGGGTAGGTCTCGGAAAGACAAAGGTCACGGTCAAATATGGGCCTCCTGCTGATTGTCCTTGGATTGCCCCTGTATGACCTTGCAGCTGTGCTGTGTGTGCCAGTACGCCGATGGGCAGCGGGGGGGGGGGGGGTGGGTTGG